TGTGACATGCTCCCGAAAACTGGTTGACTCTTCCTTAGCGCCAGGTTTTCCACTGGAACTTGTGAGTAATTCTTCAGAGAGACCATTAGAAGGCAGATACGTACTAATTGCAGGGATAGATACCAGGGCTTTTACCATGAGCAACAGCATAAAATGCTAGCTCGTTCGGTAATGGAGCCGTCTCGCCTGCTCCCTCCTTGAAAATCTCTTTGGGCTCCATCACCCCACGATTTTTCATAAATTCTCGTGCCTCCTCAATGGTAACGCAAGCTTTAAAATCTGGTGCTTTACACCCAGTCACTCGTGGATGCGCATCGCCCCTCAGCAACTGTTAGTCTATCGCTAGTTACTACACTGAGATTGAACATACCAGGATGAAAAAATGGTAGGTTGATTGACACGCCCCTTGTAAACAGCATAATACTCCTTATGCTTCTTCTTGTTCTTTCTCTTCTGCCGCAGAGATACCATACTGCAAACCTGCCAGAAAATCTAGACTCCAGAGGGATAAATAAATTCGCAAATTAATTGACGGAACGGTTGAGGGTTTAAGAATGATGTTCAAGATGAGTAAAAGATAAAGTCAAAGAAGCTGAGATGCTTCGAACGGCGACATGAGGCTCAAGCTGTGACACGTGGCCCACAATCTTAAGAATATCAGGCTCGCTGTTTGATCTACCAAGCTCTGGCCACCACGATTGAACAAAGCCCAGGGTACCTTGACCTCAGCCCTTCCGATTCTGCACCACCAAGTGAATTCGAATGCGACCATAAATGATGCATCTAATAACCAGTTTGGAAGAAATCTGTTAGCTGGTTAAATACCAATTTCACGAGGAACAGAGAGTAAATGACCTATATTTTAATTGTGCAAAGCATAGTCATATTGCCCAAAATTAAGGGGAAAAGTGAAAGACGACGACACTGGAGTATGTCGAGGAACTTGGCGGTGGCACAGGTGACAAATCTCATCAAATAATGTCTGATCCACTGATTACTAGTACATTTTGCTAATCAACAAAAGAAAGTCTCAAGAGTTATGCCAAAGAAAAACCAAAAAGGAGTGACCAAGATATTCAAAGAGCCCGCGAGAGCTACTCGACAATCAGTTATTATGAGAACCTTAGCACCCGCAGCCGCAGTGGTTCTCCAGTGAGTCTTCCTCCTCGGACTTCGTCAGGAGGAACGCCCAGTACGGATACATTCCTATTGTCCTTGTCTAAGTTCCCACCGTTGTCCTCCAATCACGCTCACGAAATTTTGGTCAGGTGTGATTGTTGGAATCTCCGTAAAATTGTCTGTGGCTGCACGCTAGAAATTTTCTCATGTGACTTTGTGACTCACAGATCTCTTAATAGCCTGTCGGGAGATACTTCTGAACAGACAAGAATAGACATTTGCCTGCTGGTAAAGTATCATTCATGCTCTTTGTTCGACAGGAAATATCTATACTGTATATCCGAAACACAAGATTCTGATCTCCGCAAGTCTTGCAATATCCACTTCCGTTGCCCCCTCATCGAAGAAGCAGTATCATACCATCACAAATTCGATCAAACAGACCCGCAGAAGCCTTCGTGTTCCGGGTGCTGAACCTCTTAATTATTCCGTCGATCGCGCTACCCCTTTAGCCCGCAACTATTGTAACCAAGAACGAAGTAAGTTGTCTTTTTGAATGGTGTTTAGAGCTGTAGAACAGACCATTAATTCTATAAATACAGATTGTCTCCCCTTCGAGCCGCCTTCCGTTTCAAGACTACGTCACTCGCATCACGATCCGCTTCGTGTGAAGGTCCTCTCTGCGATATTCAATTTAACCGACTTCCTTCACTTTCACGCAATGTGTGAATGGGCTTGCAAGACATACGCAGCTTGTACGCGTACTCCCAAACACATGAATCGAGATCACATTATCTTTTGTACACTCGCAAGAAGCGATGCAAATGACCCATGTGTACCTCCCTCCGGGTTTCTGAGAGATCTCCCGTTGGTTCTCGATGCGCAAGACACGAATATAGCGGGATCCTGTCCTCCCTGTGCTGGAACAACACCGACTAATTCCTCTGACTAGAGTGGCTGCCTTCCCCCCAATCCAGAGAAGCAGATCGCTGGTGAACCTGCTTGCGAGCTACCTCTCCGAGATCCTTAAATGTACTAAATATAGTTAGCTTAGTTAGGCCATAGAAGAGGTAACGCACAATGAATCAATTCCTGAGACTTTGAAGACTTCGAGGTCTAACTTGTTAAGATCGACATTTGGATGCGTTTTGCAGTAGAGATCGAGAACGAGATATAACCGAGAAGAGCGAGGATCACTGCATATATGTGTATAGTAATCTTCTAGAGGTTGAATACCTCGCCATGTAAAGAAAGCGTTGATGATTGCTGGAGGTTTTTGAAAAGGTTGTTCGCGATATTGAAGGATTATCCGCACCGGAGTAGCCTGACTCATTTCGTCCCAGGTGTAAGAAGAGTTGCTTATATAGCTTGTAAAGGCAGTATTATATGAGAGAGATAAAAAAGGTGTATTCCTCGAAGATTCTGAATCACAGACGGGCAGAGACAGGGACAGGGACAGAGACAAGAGAGAGAGAGAGAGAGAGGGGCAGAGGGAGAATTGAGGTCTCACGTGTAGATCACGTAATCGCGCAACAACCATAACGTAATTATTTCACCTCGGACACTTGTTCACGTGATATAAAACTTTAATTAGTTACCCCTTTACAACTAACTAATTGACTTGCTTGGCTTCACCATATGGCTACTAGTCCTAGACACCAACATAGAGGTGCAAGCCTTGTCTAGGTGTCGTACACAGGCTCCGTACGACTGGAGTAAATGAAATTATACATACCTAGCCTGCCTGCCCAAGAGCCCTGCATACACTACAGCGATTAGGAGCCCGTCTTCTACGTACAGGTTTATTATCAGCCTCCTGTGCATATTCTCCATTAGCCATCTGTAAAGAATCATCGCCATTCCTTCGTACGAAGTTCCCATTGGTTTCCTGGTTCAAATCGCCATTGCCTTCTGGTATAGAATCTTCTTCCCTTCGTACGCGCCTAGCCGCACCTCCATGGGGAATATATGTGCTTTTTCTCTTCCTCTGCTGTTTTGCATTGGCAGCCTTTAACTCCATGTTGTCTTGTGTGAGTAAGACATTCTGAACTATGGTTTTTTCATAGTTAAGAAAGATCTTGTCCAGGAATTGATTGGTTGGACTTGAAAGAGGCTCCGTACGATTCTTAATTCGGTTTCGAAACCTTGCTGATTGTCTTTGTGCCTTGGCAATATTCTGAGGTGTTTTTGGAGTCCAGGAGCTTTCAGAGCCATGTGAAGTGGTAGGAGGAGAAGGGGTAGACATTTGCAGTTTTGATAAGACTGCTTGAGGATTGTACGGAATCAACCCAGTAGCTTTGAATCCACTTTGTATAGTTTGCTCAGTAAAGGTGACAAAATGAGCTTCACTATATAAACGCAGAAAATCAAGCTTGTCCACATGATTGATTCCACATTGTATTTGATTCTCAACCTTTTGTCCGTATGATTGCTTCAAAGGGCCAAAACAACTCACATCCAATGGCTGTAAGGGATGTGAGGAGTGAGGAGGCATATAAAGAAGAATAATCTGATTCTCCATGCAAAAGGTATCCAATTCTGGAGTAGCATGACTTCCATGACCGTCCATTATAAGTAATCGATATTGACCCTTCGTACGAGGCCGAGTTTGCTTGTCAAAAACCTCCTTAATCCAAAACAATCCAAGCTCATTGTCTGTCCATCCATTTGGGCTACTCTTCACAATCCAAGTAGAAGGCAGGTCAATTTTATCCTCATACGAAGGAACTGTCTTTCCTTTAAGTATAAACATCGGGTCCAACGCCCATCCCAAAGCATTGATTGTATTGACCACAGTTGACCAAGCTCTGTTTCCAGACTGCAATAACCTTGGACGATCACTTCTATCAGAGCTAGTTATAACCATGCAAGTTGCAATCATTCCCATTGCAAATCCAGTTTCATCCATGTTGTAGGTATCATCCGGCAATATCCCATATTCTTCAGTGATTTCTCGTACGAGGGTAAGCCAGTCTTGCATAATCTTTGGGCTTTCACAAAGAGCGCGTTTGTAGAGGCGCTGTGCTGGTTCATATAAAAATTAACCTGGCTTAACGCTTGGTGATACTCATTTCGTTGACTGACAATTTGGCTCCCTCCCATGTCGGTCCTCCATTTCCACGAGGGTTTGACATCTCCAGGAGCACGGTTGGGTGCAGTTGCGAGAGCCGCATGAATGTCGAAATATGCAGTATCAGGTTTATAATTTTCAATCGCTCGTGCTGCCTCGCCAACATCAAAACACAGTTCTGTGCGACCCTGCATTCCTCCATTGTTTGCTAAAAAAGAAAATCCAACTCGCAATGAGCGTCGAATGCGGGGGGTGGACCGGTACCGCCGCCAGTGGCTGCTGCAAGAACGTGATAAGCGTGACCTAAGCCATAAGATGAAAAGAGAGATTCAGGCCTGGAGCTTTTTAATAACTGCACACATCCTAGGGGGATTCGTCTTGGACACTTAGAACACATTTCGGCTATAGAAATGTGTGTTAAAACCAAGAAAAACAAATTATGTCTCCGTAATAAGGCGATGCCTGAGAAGCCGCAGGATATGGGGTGTTGTTGAAGTGGCACAAACCGAATTTAATTGGCTAACTGAAGAGGCCCAAGTTTCATAATTATTGCTGAGCGTTGACTCATCCAAAACCACTCGACGTGCAGCATTTGCATCGAATGACAACCAATAGCTCCTCCACAAGATTTACGTGCTTGACACAGCCTCGTTAAAATCGCAACTCAGTGGAGCCATAAGGTCGAGTCCATCCAGGGTAGACTCAAAATTTCTTGAAGCCATGTACTAATCAAAATTGAGCAAACAAATCAAACTATTCCCTGCTCTCTTCTCTCTTAAGGCTCAACCTTTTCCCGCAAGGACAAGCAAACTCAAAGATCAAAACACACAATATCTCATCTCGAGTCGATTTCCCAACTTGGCTGATTTGCTGTTTCAGCTCATCAGTAAGCTTCTTGCAAGTGTCGCCTAATCTGGCTTGTGGCTATTCGTCATTCGACTAGCGAAGCCACAAATTCGCTACTTGAGTGTTACTTGTAATGCCGCATTGCATACAGCCAAACCTGTCGGTATGCCAGATCGAGACGTTCCTTGCTTCCCGTACGCTTTTGCCGGAAGGGAGTTTGGATCTCGGTAAGGAGCAGAGGTGGATATCAAGCCCAGCTATTGGAGTAGTAAACTAGTTCCTGAGCGAGAAAGAGCTGAACTTGATCAAGAAAGACAAAGGCGTCAAGACGCGGAAGCTGAGGCGAGAAGCGAAAGAAGGCGGCGTGAAGAAGAGCAACGACATGAATCGGAGGATCGTGAAGCCGAGTTAGAATGTGCCAACAAGGTGTGCAAGACTGCTCTAGGGCACCTTGACGGCAGAGTACTCGCCGAGTCCAACCCTGAGGTGCTGGTAATGAGATCAGTACAGAACTTCGAAGGCTGGCGGATGAAAACTTGATCTTTGTGGGATCGATCTCAATCCTTAAATCGTTGTCGAATCCGCTCGCCTCGTAGATGGTACCCTCTGGGCCGCGAGGCAGACTGGTGTGCCCGGGCATGAGGGCGGGTAAGAAACCGAAGATAGCCAAACCACCGACTTAGGTTAATGCGCACCAGTCTCCCAGGTAAGTTCCCAGAGGTTGCCAAAACATTTGGAGCTGTATAAATGAATGACCCCGTGACTTCCCCGGTGGAAGAAGGTGAGATGCTGAATGTGAAGCGCCGTTTCGCAAACTCGTCATCTACCTTTTCTCCTTTTTCTTGGTCATTGATTTTTGTTCTAGTTTGAGGTACTGCTCTGATGTTATATTTTAATTGACAAATATATTAGTAATTCAACTTCTTAACTCGCTCGTAGCTATAAATTGAGGTCTCTTCCTAAAGTCTGATGCTTCGAGCAGCGACTTTCCACCACCAGACAAAGATATAGTGAGTGCCATGTCTGGTACAGCCCTGCTCTTACAGAAACAGGAGAAGCATTACCCCTCTCCATCCCGAACAACGTGCGAGAGCTACACAAAATATCAGAAGCCTAGAGGGGGAAGTGGGGAAGCAAGGGAAACTTGAGAATCAGTGTGAATAGATGAAATATCTTGTTTGTTGTAAATTTATCGACCTTTCCACAGAGGAACAAAAACGCATGTACGGCAGAAAATCAAACAAGGCATAGTTCCATCACGCTATAATGGTGGCCTGATATTATTCTACCCAACGGTTTGCGTCAGAAGCTGGCGTGACACATAGATAAACTGGACGTCCTGGAGAACGCGCAAGGGCGCGAGATATGCGCAAACGACGGCGGGTGAAAGGGAACTAAATGACAATCGCCAGACAGGTGACCTCCTAAACAGGCTATTGATAACGTAGCGGCATGGATGGCGGATATCAGGAGCGAAAGGAAGAAGGGTGGAGTTTTAAAAGGCAGCTGAGGAAGCTGTTCCTTCAACGAGACGTAACTTCCACGAACCTCGAATATGTATCTACCACCATTTTCGGTCTCAAGCATGTTCTACTAGCGTTCTCTAGATTATTGACTTTCATTTATACAGAATTGATCTTGAACATCAGTAAGAAATACTTAAAATAATTCTGTTATAGTAATAATTTCTTTACAGTGAGGCACACTCACTAATGAGAGGTAGTGAGTGCACTTGGCACGTTTAATTTGGTCTCCACATTGCTCTGGAGTTCTTCTTAGCTTCCCTCTAGCCACCTCCCAATACATTTACACAACTTACTGGTTCCCACCCTTCTTCATTCAACATGCTCCTCAATCATTCTCCCAGTTTGACAGTTATTCTGTATATCCCCTTGTTTAGCTGCCCTCCGGTTTAGGTGTCCTTGTTTACAGGACAGTCTGTTAATATTCCGAGTCTCCTCCGTCACGTTTCTGAAGGACCGCCAAGCCGACAGCGATCTTGCTCGCTTTCTTACTGATAAGAGAGATGGGGACAAGAGGCCTATGGAACTTACGTTTTGCCGGTACGCGAGCCATTTTCTCGGCCTTTACAGCCATTTACTAACAAACCGCTCAAAAGGGAAATGGTATCGCTTGCACGAACCAAGGAGCCGTATCCGATCCCCAAACGAGCCAGAAACTGTGCGGCGAATAAAGTCTATCATAGCTTCACTCGATAACTTGGAGGAATGGGAGTCAGTTTCCTTTCCCAGTCCGCTACAGTCGAATTTGGACTACGTGTACACGATCGATGTCGACGCCGGAACCTTAATAATCACACGATGGGAGAGCCTCGATGGCTTGCTTCAGCCTTTTCCGGGCCAGATACCGTTATCTTGTCTAGATGGATCTCATGGCTTGACATTGGATTCATTAACCCGGGTTCCGGGTGAGATATCAGAGCCCGAGGACGGAGGAGCGCCTGCGACGCCACAAGTCGTACCGAATCAACTTCTTATTCATCCTGGGCCACCCACAACACTGAATGAGCTACAATTCAGGATTTCCCGCGACTTCTGTTTTATATGGCGATTTTTCATTGACGATCCAATGACTTGGCGATATCCCTCTATGGCATTTAACACAATTGCCATTGGCCTTCTGCGAATTGCAGCATGGGATCTTGAAGTATCATCCGACTCTCAAATTCATTATCCGGAAAATAGGGTAAATTTTCCTTACTGGGACGCGCCCCAAACAGATATTTTCTGGTTCCACGGATACCTTGTCGTGCTTCATGGAAATATCAATACAAAAAGCTCGATCTTGGCAGCTATCTCCAAGGCTCAATTCTTCCTTGAGGTTTCCCACAAGGATGCCGCCCATTTAATTATTTTATCACTTCGACATGTTGCATTTGTTGAGGTCTCATCCAAGTCTGTTTTGTGTTCTCAGATTCTTCCCCTCTTTGTCAACACGTCGGCTCGGCATTGTTCCCCAGGGTTTCGATTATTGAGCTACGTTCTGACTTCGTCGTGCTGGAAACCATCACTTGCCCACAGGGAACACCTCGGAGTTGGTTTGCCTTCAGAAACTTTGGATCTCATCCTCGGATCTTGCAGTCCCAAGGGCGCATTGACACTGTCACAATCTTCCTTTATTTTTCAAGAGCAGTATTACTCAACAATTCCGCAGATTCAACATTTGACGCTACGAAGTTTTAAGCACTCCGTGCCCTGCTGTGGGAAGAAGAATAGACTTCGCGGGAACTGGGTTTATTGCCCGTCCTGTTACGCCTGTAGACACACTGAATGTGCCGGTGTGAGATCTGAACCGCAGGCAGATTCTCAGGTTATTTGTTTTGATTGCAAAAACGGCAAGCTTTGCACAGAACTCGTTCCTGGAGGCATCAATCACATAACCCGGCGGTTTTCTGGTGAAGACTGTGAAGTTTCAGTTGCTGGTTCTCCCAAGATACTCCGCATTCGGTTCTGGAAGCCTTCTCATCTTTGCCCAGAACTGCGGTTGCTTGGAAACCTTGTCCCCATTCTACCTCGCTTGATTAATTTTACAATTCGCTTTAATGGCGCATTTGCCGGTGTAGCATACGGGTTGGATGATTCATGATATTCCCTGAGATGAGATATTCTTGAATATGCATAATCAGCTACTAGCAAACAAGCAAATACAAAGTCATCTGCCTCCAATACCCCTTCACCAATGTTACATTTCAACAAGCCTCTTATTCCCATCGTTGTGATGTCTCCATGGCAGCGTGAGCAGCCACTAGCGTGCTGGTGGAGTGTTGTTTTGTCCATATGACGCAGCATCCAATCGATAGTTACGCTATCATTTCGACCATGGAACAAATTCTGCGACGGTTGATTCGGAGGACCCCATGGGATAAGCCGTTCACCCGCAGGCAGGTGAATGTGATACTCGAAAAATTGAAAGTTGCACCCATGAATCAGCATTGCCCGGCACCTGCCAAATTCAGTATTGGCTTGTTCGAGGGCATTCTCAAGCTGCTCCAAAGCAGCTGTGACGGAGTCGGTATCTCTTTTGGCTTCAGCTACGGTGTGATCGACGACACCGCGGTCACCGGGGAACCGACGTTGGATCCGGAGGATGATAAAATCCGCGATATTCCCCTGTCGGTTTTGCTCTGGGGCGACTGTAAAACCATTTGTCGCTGGAAAATAATAGTTGAGAACGCCTGACGCCATCGCCTTAATCGAATCTTCATACAATGCATCCTCCTCGGCGAATCGCACAAGTTCATCGAGGATAGGCAGGGAGAGATAATTCGCCATGGTCGTTTCGAGGGAATGAGAATTTTCGTTGAGCGAAAGGGAGCACTCTCAGCAGTCGCCGGTAAAAGGAAGATAGAATTGAAAGGCAAAGAAGACGCAAAAGTTGTTGCTGGAAAAGAGGAAAATCGAAGTCTAAGGAACTAGAAATCTGAATATCGAGCGCGTTGTTTCTGTATCTAAAGAAGCTCATCTCTGGCAGGAAATGAGCACCCTTTATATCCAAGCTGTGACATTGTTGGCGGCGAGGATGAGAATGAGAGAGCTTAGAGTAAGGGAGAAATTGGCGCCCTCAACATCCATTGAATAGTAAAATTAGAACAGGAAGGCTCCGCATGTTTTTTTCAGAAGAGAGAGCGGCACTGAGGACCAGAAGCACATATTGGCCAGCATGGAGACTCGCTAAAGAAAGCGAACTGCGATTAGCCGCCCGGGATACACTCAAGGTTGACTAGTTAGTAGTCCTCAATCCGGAGAAGAATATAACTGGTCACACCATTCATATCATTTCGAAAAATTGGCCAGAGTTGGGGTGTTGGGGGCAAGGGGCCACGCAGTTCCAGGACGCGCCGAACACTGAATATCCAGCTTCCCATTTTCCAATCAAGGGATCGATGGATAAGACATTGCGGGAAATACCCAGTTTCATACAACCCTTAAGAGGCAATTTCTCGAGTGATAGGCTCCAAAGGACAGAAATGGGGCCGGGATTTGAGCAGACCCTCATCCTGCAAGGCCAAATGCATCGTCCAGTCGGAAAATAGTATTATCAATTTATTATCGAATCGGTGTCTGTGCTGCATTCTGTGGGGTTGGACAGGAGTCGTTTTTAATTTTAGTTGGCGGGTAGGACGGGGCGCTTAAGAAGAGATTACAGCTAACATGCAAGCACTAACTAAGTTAACCAAGTTTGATAATCTCAACAACTTACACCAACCAATGAGGGTGATCTGATTCAAAAGGCTCTGAGTTGACCCGCAACCAGTCCAACCTGCTCTATTACAATTTCACTTCAATCGCTCAGCATTTTCTGATTTGTCTATAACAGAGTGGTTGTAAGAACTCATCGAGATTCAGCATTAAAGCGACGTTATCAACAGTTACAATATAGTGCGGTTAAGGAACACCAGTTAGAGAAGTGCAACTTCAACCTCATGAGATGAATAGCAGTATCTGCTGCTGGAGTATTAGTAATCATCTAGAATTTGAAAAATAGCTATTCTTAGAACTATTCTTCTTCTTTTCTAACAGAGTAGCAGAGAGAGAAAGGGTACAGTACACAGCCAAAGAAACTTGAGGAACTCCAGCGAAGGCTGCGTGCTGTGTAGGTCCCCGAACCAAAGGAAAATATACAAACCGCAGCTGGAAACACTAGGCTGAACCTTGGTAATCGTCCTCTTGGCACAGGGCCTCCTGTGCACATTTTCAGCCTCGCGATCGAAAGCATACCTCAAAAGGTTCATTTTTCTGTAAAATGCGGTCATGCTGATCATTCAAAAGATATGAGATTTTTACAATACTGTACACTACTGAATTCGTTGTAATTTACAACAAACAAATATTTCTTATATCCAAGTCCTCGAAGAAGTGAGAGATCACGACAGTTCCTACCCCCAAAGAAACCAAAATGGCTCAGGAGGTGCCACCAGTTGTGGTTGGCACGCCAGCGGCAAACACACTCCTACGTGACGTGCAGGAAAATTTTCGAGGGGCTATAGTATATCTGGCCGGCGGTAGTCTTGGGTAGCTCCCTCGTTCGCCTTGTAGCGGGTGATCTTCTTGTGAAGTTCACGCTGGACGGTTCCCTTGTGCTTTCTTTGAACCCAAGGCGTTTGCTGAAGAAATCCCGTTTCTGGATGAGCTCCTGGATGTGGGGCTGCCGGTTGCTCGACCTCGACTGCTCCGTGGTCAGTCCCTGCGGCCGGCTTTTTTCCATCTGTTTTCCTTACCCGAGCGGTTAGCGACATGGCTCGGGCGAGGTCTCCAATGTATCCTTGTAGAAATCGACTCTCGTTTTCTAGTTTGTCATGCTCCGACTTGACCTCATCGATGTGTTCCGCCAAGGCCTGCAACGACGATTGGAAAGTATCTGCTCGTCTGCGGTTATCAACCCTGTGAGCAGTTAATCCTTTTTTTTTTTTTTTTTTTTTTTTTTTTATGTTGGCTGCGTGGAGGGAAGACCGCAGATAGAAGAACAAGAGATAAAATGATCCGCGAAACAACCAGGGATAAACAGCAAAGGGAATGCTCACTGTTGAATAGCTTCTTGAATCTCTCTGCATAGCCTCTCCACGTCAGCGGGATTTCTTCTTGGGCTCATTGCCCGAGCATCATCTGGAGGAAATTCCTCCTCCTGAATCTCGATTTCTGGGTGATCGCGGGGGACAAGGATGGAAGCACTGGGTCTCCGACTGGCCAGGTATGGACGCTTGGCCCTGGGATGTCGGTCGATTTCAGTATCTGATACTGGGAGTGAGGATGAGATGAAAGATAGGTCTTTACTATTATTATTGTCGGGTTTCGTCATTCCCGTGACAGGAGCTGTGATACCAGATTCAACAGCCATTCCACACAACTGGATCCCGAAGAAATTTTCTGGATACCGTCTCTTGAACAGGGGAGAAAGATCGTAGGTCTTCACTGATAAACAAAAGTTGGAGAAGACAACACGTTGTAAAACTTGTCAGAGACAGATGGAATCTATCAAGGCGAGGGTCAGAGTACAGAAGGAAAAAGAAAAACAATGCTGACGTATTGAATTCACATCTAAAGTATGATGGTAATCAAGGAAATTAACTTTTCAATCAGGTTGATTCCTTGACTGCGTAACTCCCCAGAAAAATTAGTCGGTCCCAGTCAAAAGCCCAATGCTCATGCTCTTGCTACCAGCTGGTATCGATCTTCCTCTGCGCCAGTGTCACCTCCAGTGTGCACAGACATTTGGTGGAGTGGTCCATCGTTGGTTGGCCACCACAATTGGTATTCGCGACCCAGCCTAGCACAGTAATGGTTTAGTGTGGGGCATCCCTAACGGATCCCCACCTGTGGTGCCAATAGGTTTGCCAGCCACAACCGATGTATCCTGCGCCAAGGCCTTGATTGTCTCCACCATCTCCACCTCCACCGCCATCGTCATTGCCATTGCCATCACCATCCCCATCACCAGCTCTCCAGGTGAGTCGATTACGTGTTGGCATCGATGGACAATTCTTGTCATAGAGCATTGGCATATATTGTCTTTGACGGGACACTCTTCAGCAAGAGGCTCTTCGATACGGACAGTCTTCAACAGAAGTCTTATTCGGCCAAACGTTTCTTCCTCAGCTTTTTGAATACTTGCGTTTGCTCAGTGAAAGAGCTGGTAGGGGTAACACCTGCTGAGTCATTATAGCCTAGCTGGCTTGACTGGCTGTCGTCCTCTTCCAGGGGTACTGATTCAGTGTTGGATTGTTGGGAGAAGTCAAGTTCAGATTGCGATATATCAAACTCCACGTTAGGGGGAATCTGATCAATCGCCGAGCAGATTCTTTTTAGATGAGTTGGCATCCATATGTCATAGACACTCCTCGTGAATTTGTATGCCGCCCACTTCTCCTTGCCATCTTGTTCCGTGAAATCAAATTTGCGAATCGGGTGGCGGTAGAAAGCAGTTCTGTCTGCTCCAAGAACAGCATAATGGCCATAGATCCTCACTGCCGTGTGGTCATGCGAGATTGAAAATGCGACAATCTCTCGATCAACCTCTTTTTCGCGCTTCACCAGCCTAAATAACTCAACAATTGCTCTCACTGCAATAGTTGCGCTGTGGGCATTCTGTCGGTCGGCGATATCAAGCGCCGCTGCGCCACACTTGACCTCACATGTTAGGAATGGGAAGTACATGTAAAATGTTGCCATGAAGTAAGAAGTACAAGAATCAGTAATCTCGCCAACAAAAGGCTTGAGCTTGTCAAGTTGGACATCTGTAAATGCAGACCGTCCAAACCCCACAGAATAATCAGGCTGCGGACGAGGTTTAGTTACGGAAATGGAGTTATCCCAGCCTTCATTAACGCTCTCAATCAAGACCTCAAGATGTTTCGCGCCATATATGGCTAGGGTTTGTGCTGAAGGGACGATCAGCCGAGAAATATCCTGAATGACCTTGGGTTCGTTTCTGTTTCGTATCATTTCACAAAGATTGTCAAACACATCATCCCGAAAGAGCGAATCTTTAGGGATCGTTTGCTCCGTTTCAAGTAAGCGTTGACAAAGATCTCTGCTTTCATCTATTATGCCCCGCTCCGACTTCCCCATAAAGCTACCCTTGGTTTCAAGGATGATTTCGTAGCGCGGGCTTCTGTAAGGAGCACTCTTCTCCTCCCGTGGCTTTTGATCGCTGGGTGTGGTAGAGCTGGCGACAGAGCTAGATTCTGATTGTTTACGGCGGAAGAGAAGATGTGGATTTTTTCCTTGCAAGTAGGTGGTACATGTTGCTACCCTCTTCAAAATATTCCTTAGGCCAGATTCCTTTCTGCGTCCACCAGTGGATAGGATTGATCTCGTTCCCGCGGAGACTGCTTGCCGCTTCCTGGCCAGGTGTGTCCCCAACGGAGTTCTCAGCAGCAGAGCTCGCAAGAGATATTCGCAGTCGATTTTGAGGGCGCTTCGCTGGAATACGGAGTGAATCTTCGGCTTCTCGCGATCGCTTACGTTTTCGCCCTTTAGTTTGCAAAGGGGCAGACGAATTTTGTGGTAACTTGGCCTTAAATTAGTTCCGTAGCGCAGCAGGAAGAAGCTATCATACCTGTTTTCTGGGGGGGTCGTTAGTTGGACGGTGGTTGTTTCCGTCCAGAGATACAGTTTCCTCCTGAAGGTGACATATGCGTGTGCTCCGACGAACAGGCTTCTTGACGACTTGAGGCTTCTTCCCTGCAATGAATAGTCAGTCAAACGATGCTGGTCGATGCACGGGTGGCTCACCTTGCGATATCTTTCTGACGTTTGCCTTTGTTTGACACCCAGCCTTTCTGGCGTCTGACTTTGTTTGACGCGGGGCCATGCTGAATGGGAGGAAAGGGGATTAAGCAGTTTTGGAGTTGTCACCGACTGGACTTGTCTGTTGACTGTTTTCCACGATGGGACAAGGCTGGTATGGACGCTAGAGTCTTGGCAATATTCAGCTGTCAAAATGAAAAATAACTAGCGCTGTTTACCTGATGCACAAAGTTAGTGGCCCCAGTAGAAACGTAATTAATGCACCACTGAGTCGAATAAATCGTCAGACTTGCGGATGCCAAAAGACTACCTTGAAGAAGCAGCATGGTTTCTCAGATCTATGCACTATATGCCATCAGTGGTACACCGACGAGTGGGAGTTTGAAGCCCACTGTCAATACCACATCGATCACCCGGCAACGATTCCACTCGAGTATGGCTTCCTAGAAGTATGTGGCACGCTTGCATGGCCCGGATTTTGCCCCCGATGTCTCGGGAGGCTGTTAAAACAAGAGTTCAGTCATGAGGGTCGAGGATGTAACTTCTTGCTGTTGATGTTTCGGGAAAAAATATCTTGCGTCACGAGGCAACCACTTCCAAAAGCACTGGATGTGATTTGCGGCTGCGTCCCAAAACATGCAGGTAAATAAAGGATGTCCCGACCTCAGACATAATCGTAAAGCCAGATTTCAGAACGCAAGGTGAGGAGCCAACTGGCTATAGGCTAGTACAGTTTCAACAACATATCGCCACGATGGATTCGTAAAACTTTTCTGCGCTAGCCATTTTGCAGCGGGGATTGTTACAGCAGTCCTCCTGTTATCGCAATTGAACTTACTTTCTCACTTTGAGGAGTAAGAATTATTGATTTCCACCCGTTTAACGCATTGATACCTGATCTACCCACATTTCGTAGTTCAGTGCTTGTTTGGCTGGATGTACCGAAGGAGGAATCAAAATGAGTATCCCATTTGCCCAACTTCACTAGGATCTTCTTGTGATCACATGAATAGTGTTTGCCCCTCAAGCGATATTTTACTTTTCGTCATCGCTTACTTCTCCCGCCGGCTCTTTTCTTTTTAAAGCTTCGAGCTCCATTCTTGTTCAACTCACCTACGGGACCTTCTTTATCCAACTAGCACATTCTCACAGCAATAGTAACTAAATACAATCTCAACCTTCTTACCTATCACACGTACCCCAGCTGACTATCCAGCGCGCCCGCATTCTCCATGTTCAGGTAACGGTGCGATACATTCATATTACTTCCCTGAACGACCGCTCGCTGTCCCGATCTCGCTACACTCGCAAAAGACTGGTATGTAAATACTGTCTGCTGGGTGACATTTTCGTGGAAACTGAAGTTCGAATTAGAACAGATAGGGTACTTGACAAGAGTTCCTTTTCGCAAAAAGGGCCAGGATGACAAGGAGTGAACGTGATAAGAAATTGTTGAAGGAAACGGCCAAAGACATGGTAAGCAATGCTATTACTCTACATTGACGATATCACCGTCTGACTCCTGTCCAGATAGCCGGCGACGACGACGTAGAACTCGCACTGGAGGAAACAACTGGGGAAGAAGATTTTAAGTACGAAAAGTCACCAAATGTTTGTGGAGTTGTTGTCGATAAGGGCAGCGGACGTGGGTATGCGCAGATAACTGGAGGAGGTAAAGATCCTCGCATTATCTATACAGGTCGCGGCGAATCTGGCTGTGTCAAGGCCGAGATATTGGCGGGACAGACATGTATGCTATACGGGCGATCTACGGTTCTGTATATCCTTCCTCGTTCTACTTAGAGACCAATCCGCTGCCGTTCGCTTTCCATAGCATGTTCGATCAGATCTTGGCACATTTCCCTTGATATCTCAATCGACGGCGATTCGTTTTCATCATCTGGAATCCTTATTGCCAAGAGGACATATCGCCCTTGGTTCTTTCCCAGAAAACTCAGAAGATCATTATGTTGTAACTTTGTGCGATATGGGGGTGAAACTAGCTCCCATCAGCCTAATTTGAATCATCAATAGACCAATTTCTCATACAAGTGTTTTCTCTTGGTGGCAGGATAAGATTAAAGGATTTGGGCTTATACCAGTTTTTGAGACCGTTGGACGCTTCAGACGCTTCCTTGGTGGATCAATAGACGCGGTGTCTATCCGCTGGGGATTAATCAGCTGAGGATCTGTTATACGATATCAGCCTTCATCACTCACAAAGATAGGTTTAACGGACCGTCCTTGAGTGGAACCTGGTAATCATTGGCAAGTGACTCTAGCGCTAGGCAACCTAAGAGGCTCTTGTTTTCCTTGACATAACCCACAAGACCAGTTCTCTCATCCTCAGCCAGATGGGCTACTCGTTGTTTTCCGAGGCTCGCGGCACATAGCACAACAAGTCCACGGTCGCAGAGGCGTAGAATGTCGTGCAGAAACAGCTGATAAACACTCGACTCACGAGTACTCTGTGGTGATTTCAAGATGCTAATAGCATCTCGAACATGCTGTGGACCACGCCCAGCCAAGCGTTCCAAAATCTTAATTGTTTCAGCATCTCTTTGTAGCTTTTGGCTCCATATGTCAATTGCATTCTGTTTGTTGTTAGACTTTTCCCTCTCCTGCTCAATGTCTGCCATCAGGAAGGGATGGGTATTAATTCAAAATCTGTTAAATCTTGCTGCAATTTGATTGAAGTTTGCGATAAGATTGTTTTGGGTTGGGCAAAGTTTGATTTTTCTTTCCAGAGTTGAAGGGATTTTGATAAGGTCGGGAGTAAGTATCAAAAACAGAGGAAGCTTGACGGAAGTTGACGCAAAATCAGTGATGTTAGTGAGAAATTTGCTCAAAATGTGATCCTTTTGGAATAAGGTGGGGAGTTTAGTGAAAATTGGTGGTAAAGTTCAAAATTGAGGGGTAGTTTGACAGAAGGTGGTGAAATCTGCGGAAGTTAGGCAGAAGTTTGCCAGAAATTCCCTAAAGTTAGCCATCGCGCTACTGCATAAACTAGATTACGCCTCTCCCTTTCGCACTTGTAGTTCACAAAGTATTTCACAACTGCGAACTAGAGCATCTCCAGACAAAAACCCTGACATGTTTGTCAGTCGGACACCCGAAAGTAACCAATGATAGGTGAACGGATGTCCTTCAAAGCTACACCTACGTACAACGGAACGGTCTCGCTACTGCACGCAAGGACAGAGTCTCTCACTCAGTACAATTTCACGCTACAGCATGATTGCAAGTTAACGCTCAATTATTTGCCAATCGCCCACATAGGTCATCCTGTAGAGCTCTGTTTCTCCTGCAGGTTCGCTACGCAGAGCGGACGACAGTAAGCTTCTCTAGCAATGGGTTTTCGGATCGACATCTAGGCGACAAGGTCGAGACTATGTATCCTGCGGCACAGGTTTATGCATCCCTAAATTGGGAGAGCGACAGCCATCTTCTCCCCTGTCCACATGGTCCAGCGGAAGGGGAAGACGACGAAAGAATAGGTGCCAGGAGTGTTGACAGAATGGCATATAAGGAGGCACGATTCCCTCCGAAATCCTGAGGCAATCAAGAAAACCGAGCAAAACTATTCCCTATTCCAATCCCCGCGGGCCATTACACGTTTTCGCTACAATGTCCAAAACCACAAAGTCTAACGGCATCAAAGCTCCTCCCTCTTCACCCCTTCACCCCCAAACACCTCCAGGTAGCCGTAGCCACGCAAACCCTCCGCAGCCCGTTACTATGGAACAGCTGCGAGAACTTTTCATGGATGTTCTTCGTCAAGCCAAGCAGTCATCAGATTCTTCAAAGCCAATTGAAGATACCAAACCGGAGACAAACAAGAACAAAGAAGGCAACGAGGGGAAAGCTCGAGCATCAAAGCTCGAATATAAGGAGGTCCACGAAATGTACGCCCCATCATTCAGTGTCTTCATTCCTTTTATGCTCACTGGCAGCTAGGTGGGACAAGGATAACTCCAAGTATAAGATTGTGGACTCCGTGAAAGAGGACAAGGCAATCGATGATCTTGACCGGTATATATTTGTTGTCCGGAACCAGCTTGGTAAGAAATATATTCTCAACTCTCACACTTGGCTACTAACGGCATATCAGACAGGATGACCAAGGAAACTAAGGCCTTTGTTGATATTAAATCAGAGGCGTTGCTTGACGTGCTGCGAGAAATTGTGAGAGATGTCAGGGCTATCAGCTTGCGCGAGGATAAGCCTTCGGTATTGTTTCACCTTCCTACTCAATTTAGTTGAAGTAATCATTAACCCAGTATCAGATTGAGCGGAACTTCCTATACAACTTCATTCCCGACCTCGAGAAGTACATTATCAAGAAAGGATGGGATCATGCGGACCCACGTTCGAAGCATGTGGACCTGCTCATCGGGTATATCAAGGAAACTTATGCCTCCACAACCCAGAGCCTTTCGCCACTTCTGAAAAAGGGAGAAATCACGTACGACCTGCTCTGGACCATTTTCAAGCCAGGGATCTTCGTATATAGTACCTGTCTGGGGACTGGCAAGCCGCGATGTGTTATATTCGATGCCGGAGAAGAGAAAACGAAAATGAACGGGATCAAATACTTCAGTTTAGATTGTCGCTATCTGGACTTTGACGGTGAGGTATTCGGTGAAGCCGGTACCCAGCTGGAGGTTACCGGGTTCCACGGACCCAGACCCATTCACACCCTCGAGGCCTTCCCTCTTGACCACCACCCCAATAAATCAGGTGTCATGACGTCTATCATCGACTTCGGCCGGAAATTTTGCAGCTTGAAGGGCCAGCACATTCGCCACTGCCGCGGCCGTGCTTTCTTCAAAGTGCGGGGAGAAATAGTCCAGATCTGTATCAACAGTCGTGTCATGGTCGACTCAGCCTTCTTTCGTCAGATGAATCCGAACTACACCAGACCGCGGATCAATCAGCGGAATGGCTCCTATGTGGATAATGACGGTATCACCCACGTTAATGTTTCGGCGTTTTTTGACAATCAGGACCAGCGGATGCGAGACCAGGTGAAAAGCAATGGGATGAATCCATCCGAAATGAAGG